ATTCAAGGTTCTGTGGGTGTTAGTCATCCAATGCCTTCCCAAGGTTTAAGTGAGATGATAGAACTATAGTTCTTTGAGCAGTTTTTTGGAGTAAGCAGCTCTCTTGAGTTACTGTTTGAAAAGCCTGATGGCTCTGCAGAACAATGAATCATCCCCTAAAATCGCACAGCCTTTTACTTTCAAAAAATAAACCTGAGACATTCTTCATTTTACAGGTGCAGAAACCAAATCCTTTAGCAGTCACTTGGCCTTTCTGGGATCTCCTGTTCCCTGGGTCAGGCCTAAAGTCACTCACCTGGCCTCTGGTCTAACCCTCTCATGCTGCAGAATTCAAGATCCAGCCTCAAGTCAGATTTGCTCGCTTTAGAATCAGTCACAAAAGTGCGGGCTGAACAGTCCACTACACTTTACCTTTCCACTCTCAGTATGGAGCAATCATGAAAGAGGAACAGATGTGACTCTGATATGTCAATTACCAAAGCACAAAAGAAAAAGCTGGTGTCTTCTAAAAGCTTCAGCAAGGCCAATGGGGAAAAAAAAATTTAATAAAAAAGAAAAAGCTGGCACCAAATAGCTTCCTTCACTGAAGAGTAAGAAGTTAGACAGATATAATTTACAACCAAGGTGTGTTCCCAACAGCAGGCCAGGGTCTATGAACAGATTATACCACCTGCTGCTGCCACACTTCCTTTCTGAGGGCTGACTTTGCTGCCAGCACTCACTCCCATCATTCACCCTACTCTACCAAATGGGTCCTCAAGGCTTGGCAGGGAATCTTCATCACACAGAGGGATCCCTGCCTAAAGCCATTTCCACCTAGAAGGCATGTCACGTGTGGAGCAGTACCTGGATTAAACCAACAGAGAGTATCAAGTGAATGGGTGCTCTTTCCCAATTTCTGACACTCATGATCATTACTTGCATCTTTTTCTGAGCTCACTGCTCCTACCACTACTTACTGTTGCTTTCTTCTGCTCCAGGCAGATTCTCCCAGCTAAAGTTCCACTGTAGCCCAGAACTTCTCTAATTCTATGAATCAGTGCTTTCAATCATGGAATCATTAAAAAAAAAAAAAAAATCGTGCCTACCAATGACCTAGGAGGATCGCTCTTTCATAGAGCACTTGGTTCCAAGTGCGGTTAAAACAAAACCTAGAAGAAATTCACTTTACTTTGGTTGCAAAAATGGAGCTGAAGAGATACATATATATTTGGTAAAGACTCTTTATCTGTAATTTTTCTGATTAGACTATAATTATAAATAGCTGGCATCTACTCTGAAAAACAAACCAATAAGGGAAGGAAAGGCCAAATGCCTGCAAAAGAACAGAAAGAAGCAGTCCAAATGAGATAAAGCACTAGCTACAGATTATATTACTTACTTGTGCCTAGTTTCTTCTTCAAAAAGCAGCATCCAAGGGCAAAAGGGTTCAAACGTGAGATCCTAGGTAAACTATTTCCTTCTAGAGTCAAAGAAGAGTTTTCCTTTTTTTTTTTTTTTGAGACAGAGTCTTGCTCTTGTTGCCCAGGCTAGAGTGCAGTGGCACGATCTTGGCTCGCTGCAACCTCTGCCTCTCGGGTTCAAGCGATTCTCCTGCTTCAGCCTCCTGAGTAGCTGAGATTACAGGCCCCCGCCACCACACCCAGCTAATTTTTGTATTTTTAGTAGAGTCGGGGTTTTGCCATGTTGGCCAGGCTGGTGTCAAACTCCTGACCTCAGGTGATCCGCCCACCTTGGCCTCCCAAAGTGCTGGGATTACAGGTGTGTGAGCCACCGCACCCAGCCAGAGTTTCTTATAGGTATGAATATGTCTACGTCTTAGATACAGGGTGGTATAAAAGAACCATTTCAAAAATCTAAAGATATTTCCTACTTGTTAATACTGTGTTTCCTAATTGTTAATAGATCATTTTCCAGTACAAGCAGAACTAAAAATTCTTGAGGAAAACAACTACTTGGGAGTAGTTTTGCAAGTAACCTTGCAAGGATACAGCTCTTGCTTTGAAACTCAGACATTTTATAAAGATAAGACCTGTTAACAAAATAGAATCTACTTTCACATTCAAAACGTAACCTGGAAACTGCTCCAGGTACCACTTAGTTAACTGAAGCAGATAGGAAAAAAATAAAAAATAAAAAAAATAAAAAAACCTCAGAAGATATCATTGTTTAAATACACTCTATTTTATTTTGTCTTAAAATAGTTTAACCTTTATGCTACAGACTTATTTCAAAAAACAGAAAATCTTATCTTGCACCAAAAAATATATATATAACACTCTGTTTTATTATTTTTTCTCCAAAGACCATTAAATACTAAAGGGAAACAAAACCTAAATAATGAATGTAAAGAACCAATTTTTGTTTTAAAAACTAGAGTTGCACATTTGAAAACATTAATTCTAAGCAATGATTTGTCGTCACTGCATCAAGTCCACACTCACACTCCAGCAACAGCAGATCCATTAACTGCCAAGTGCATTGGTTCCTAGCCATACAATGGCTAACATTTCATTTTCACGGTAAGAGGAGCAAAAGGCTTCAATGGCCTCTGTACTCTTTAAAAAACAAAACAACAACAAAAATATTTCCTAGTTATCCAGTGATTTTTTTTTAAGATCACTACCTTTTAAAATTTGTTAAGAGAATAAGAAGTAAGTAGTGTTTTAAATAAAATGAAAAAATACAACAGCATCAGACTAAAATACGTGATTATTTTAAACAAACAGTGCACAATCTGAGGAAGTTTGGTTAGGGCACAATCATTTTTATATCTACATGGAAGTCACATCATACACATGTTGGAGAACAGGGATTGGGGTGCTTGCTTTGCCTTAAAAAAAAAAGTTTAAAACTAAAAGACAAAATAGTGTCCCCAGCTTTTTCAAAAACCTTTGTGACAGTATGAAAAGCAGGTAACAAACTTATTTTAAGTTAGTTATGGTGCTAATCTACTAAAAGTAAAGATGAACAAATGACTAAATTAGTAAACCAGACGATTCATATTGATAATTGATAATAAAAGCAAAGTTTATGGGATGTTTGCCAAAAATAAACTGAATGAAATAAACTGAATAAAAAAGAATGCATTATTCATTCAGTCTGGCCCCTACCATCAAAATGAAAAGACAATTACTGGAGAGCAGCAATTATAGGTTACATGGCAGTCATGATGATAAAACAGCTAGGTCACTGCTCTGTTTTTCACAAATCGGAGGGAATGGAAACTTTACCAAGTCAGTGGCATAAACCAATCTGTGACCCATGTGTACCATTTTAGCAGAGAGATTACTCTGAAGACAATGTCCTGTGAAGCATAAAGAACTACTTATGCTACCAAACGTAAAACTCTGATTAAGAAAAATCCCTTTAAAATAAACTTGAAATGTCACAGGAGTTGTATACCACGGAATTGTATCATTAATACCTTGCCTGAAACCACACTCTCCACTCTTCTGAAAACAGCAATGAAAGGAGAGTTGAAACAGTCTCTCTACAGTTATTAGGGAAATGTCCCGACCTAGTAGGGGAGAGCTGTCTATCTCGACCATCCCTTCCCCTCCCCTCTTCATCTTAATATCCAAATCTCTGTTCTGGTCCATTAAGTCAGGCAGTTGGGAGCTGGACTAGGAATAAGTGAGGGAAAAGTGCAAGCTGACATAAACGCAAAGGGCCAGAGAAGAGACTGGTTACAGCTCCACTCTGTTCCTCATCCACAGTGCACATAGCACACCAACTCTGTAGAGGATGACTATTAGGGACTATGAAGAAAATATGTCACGGGAAATCACCTGCTGTGTGGAATTGGGAAAAAAAAAATATGTGGTTAACATAAGAACAGGTCATGCAAAAACATTCATTAAAATGGGCCTCTGCCCTGATAGTGGGGGAAAAAAATAAGCTGCAAAAACTTCAAGTCACATAATCCACTCTATTCTCTTCTCTATGATTTTCCTGGAAAACACAGACCAGAAATTGTACATTTCTGCTTTGTCTAGTATTTTAATTCAAGTCAAAAACTATGTGTAACAGTAAAATTCAATAAATTAATCCTAAAGTAAAATGTGAAGGTCCAAGGATACACCAGTAGTGAATCTTCAGACGGTCCTACTTTGCTCTGGCCTCTGGGTCTTTGGTTTTTGTTTAGAATTGTGGCCATGTGAGAGATTGATTTGCTAAAATTGGAGGTTCATGATCTTAAAAGCCTGATCTAATAAAAGCAGAAAAAAAAAAAAAAAACTGATGAAGGACAGAGGCCAGATCAAATGAGATGTTATCAGAGAAGATCAAAGAAGAAGGAATATATAGGAGAACTAATGCAACAAGAAGGGTAAAGGAATAAACTTGTCTTTACAAAACAAAAAAAAAGAAGAAGAAGAAGAAGAAGAAGAAGAAGAAGAAGAAGAAGAAGAAGAAGAAGAAGAAGAAGAAGAACAGGCCAGGCAGGTGGAGGCAGGCAGACTCTGATGCGTGCTTATGTGGGGTGTGTGTCATTCATCTCAGCAGCCCCCAGAGCACCCACCCCTCACAGTGCCTTATGCAGAGCAGGCACTTGGTAAATTTGTTTGCTGAATGAAAACTGAAAATGGTAGTTCTCATACTCTTATGATAAGAAGAACCACCAGGGAATTTGGAGAGAGAGGCAAAGGGCCATAGTAATGGTAACAATGGAAACAAACACACACAAAAAAAGCAAACAAAAACCACGAAAAACAAAAAGTGAAGTCTTCTAAACCAATATTACTTCACTCCCCCTGTGCAGAATAGTGTTCTAACTCTAGGTATTGCTTTTAAAAGAATTCACTAGTAACTACAACATATTATAAGAAAGAAGGTAGTAACTAATGCCACAAAATTCCAATGCTGGCATTTCCTGAATTCCCTGAAGCTCCTACTACCCTTTGCTAATCCTTTTAGATACTGTAAAACTTACCAATTAACGTGCTTTGCATCTGACTTCTTATGGTACATTCTGATTCTTCTTATGGTATTTTTTTTTCTTAGAAGATAGAGGAGAAAAATACCCAAATACAACATCGGGTCCACTTCATCTCGGATGTTAAACAGTTGTTGCTACATCCTCTTTATATAGAGACCAGCTATGAAAGACAGCACTTTCCTCTCAGATTTGCAAGTGCCTGTAGCCTTAGAGGCCACGTAACTTTTCATATTCTTCCCAACAAGTTTCTATGTTCACCCATTATTTGACTAAACCAGAAAAAAAAGCCGAGGGAGAGAGATTTTTCCCACCGAACTCTTAATACTTTCAGATGCCCAGAAAACCTCATGGTGGGTATCTATCTGAAATGCCTCTGTCTCCAAGGAGACATTTTGCAAAGAGTTATTAATTATTGCAACAAGGAGACCAACTAAGTCACCTTAGTAGTATTTATAAACACAAAGGGACATGTCAATTATCTGTGCTGTGGGAAGTCAACAGGAGCAAACTCAGGAAAGAAGGCAGAAGACTTACTTAAAATAAAGAAAAAAATACTTTTAATACTTCTGTCTTCTATTTTTAAGGACAGGTTTTTAAATGCACATGCCCTACTAGGTGCCAATAAGGACCTGACTGATATGTGTGCGAATGCCCTAAGATGGAAGTGCCAATGGGGTGGGCAGATAGTGGTCAAGTCTAGATATTAATTTCATTATACAGAAAAATAAATACAAGATTCAAAAACTGAAACCCATTTTGCCTGGCAATTAAAATATTATTCTAAAAGGAAGATAGAGTTTCCTAAGATTAAAAGTCACCAAGTAAAATAAAGCTGTCTAATAAAATTCATCATTCTCATATTCCTACTGAGTGAAGGAAGAAATTCTTTTCTCTGTGATAAGTTATTTTCCTAAGTGACTTCTTTTAATTAAAAAAAGGGGAAGAGGAGGGAATTTTCCATGAGTTTGAATCCTACAAATGCCACAAACAGCTTCTGAAGCTGAAGCTATGACAATGAACTTCCATGTCACAAAGGATGAGGAAGTGGAAGGGAACAGTGCAGAGGAAACACAGTGACATTGTATTACAGTAGGTATTTACGCCTGCTATCCTCATCCAAGGTAAGGTCAACAACTTCTGCTGGTGAAGCCCAAGTCTGCTGGGGAGTCACAGCAGTCCATGACTGTGTTTGCCTGGTGCTAACATACTGCGTGCCCGAGCCATGCTTCCATGAAGAAACACTCTGAATCACACCACCTCGAGGATGAACACACCTGCAATCGAGATGAAGAACAAAAGCATGGTTAATTCCACCACAGGAAAAACAGAAGACGATATGACCTCAGTTGTACTGATCAACATTTTTACTAAGATAAACCTAGTATGCAAGTTCATAAAACCCACAATCAATATCCTTCCCTCCATCTCTGTCTCCCTCTCTCCCCACCCCATGACACTCCACTTGGTCCCTCTCTCAATTTAGCCTTAAAAAGGCCAAGGGTCTTATCTCAGCCGGAAACTCCTGAGCTGTGTCTAAATTAGTCACTGACCATGGGTGAGAGGATGTTTCTCTGGACTCATTTACACCTCTGGGATCTTCATGACAGGGCAACACATAAATCCAGAACAAAGATGCCCAAACAATCTTAGTCTGAACAAACCAAACAGTAAGAAAAATAGTTAAAACTTGTTCTTAAAATAAGCTTTATAATTGGTAATAATGCCTTCAAAGACAGTGACAGTAATACCCTTTTATAGATTAAATTTCTAAAAGTCTGTCAGTAACAGATCATGAATAAAGGATCAATTTCCCTTGTCCTGAAGGTCACAACAGAAGCACTTGGTTCATTCAACAGAATCGCTTACAATTTGGTTCCGTGAAAGTAACACAGCTGAATCTTCAGTTTAGATCCACTAAAAGGGTTCTATCAGAGGGACAGAACTGCCTTGTTAGCAAGTCATACCAAGAGTTCACTGAAATAAAATTGTTTCAGAAACACTGACAGTTTGAATTCCACATTCCAGTCAAATGATAGAATTGTGAACCTCCAGGCCAAAACACTAAGTTCTGACTCAAATGAGAGGAAGGCAGGCAACTCATGAGACCAATGCTATGTCCTCTCATCTAAACTTCCTGAGCAGACCTTAGGTAGCGTACGTGAGAAGTAACAAGTGGCATGAGTCCAGTCACTAAACTACCACAGTGGCTCCTGAGCAGCTGTCTGACGATCTGTAAGCAACAAATAATGCTGGGCCACTTGAGAATTTCGGCTTTGATTTAATGTTACCTAAACTCCCAGGTTCAAAAGAACATTCAGGTAATAATGGACAAGATTCAGTTGCAAAACTACCCCAAGGACCCTTAAGCTCCTGCAAACATGCCCTACTCCTACAAAGGCTTAACCTGGTAACTTCTCCCTTACTAAGAAAAGTTCCTAAGAACAGAACTCTCAGGGCCAGAGCAGAGGGCAGAATGCAAATTTGTTACAGTACCAGAAGCCCGTCATCTGTCCAGAGATGGGCTAAGTAGTTACTAACCCAGAGGCTACTACCTTTTCAAAGATTAGCTAGCGAAATAAATAGCAACATTAAAATAAGGGACATAAAGCCCAATGTCTAATTCATATCTGTTCAACCCATTATATAAATTCATATTAAATGACCATGTAGTCATGGAAGAATGTCAGCCAAAGGAGTCCATTCAACATTTATAGAAATGGTTTTGAGGACTGAAGGCCAATGAAACACTACGTTTACTAAGCGGTTTCACATATATTATCTCATTGGACAATTCCGACAGACCTATGAGGTAAGCGTGGAATTTGCTATCCTCACTCTACAGAGAGGGAAACTGAGGCTTAAACAGGTTACATGATTTGCTCAGACTCACAATGCTTGAAAGTGATAGGCCAAGGAAGACAGGTCGGATTTTGGGTCCAATGCTTTCCATATCATGTTGCTGCTTTACAGATATGTGTATCAAATTGGGTGTGGCAAAACACAGCTAAAATCATCAGAATACAAAGATAGGCCCAAACTAACAATTTAGAAGTATAAAGTTACTTGACAATTCAAAAGCTCACCTGTACAAGCACTAATTGAAGTCAAGCTGGCTAGAAACCTGGTAAGAATTCAGGCAATGAATGAGTGGCAGAGAGAGTCAATGTAATCTTTGGCAGAATTTCTAAAAATATCTTCGAGGTAAAAGAACTATATTGTCCCAATTGTTTATCTGTATTGTTCACTAAGTAATCATACAATGTAACATCAGGCAATGGCTTTTTAAAAAATCTGATCTAATCTGTTTATTATACAGAAGAAAAAACCTAGGCCAAAAGACAACCACCTAGGCTCTTAAACAAGTTAAGTATAGAACTGGAATAAAATCAGGTCTCCACTCAATGGTTTATTTTCCACTGAATAAGAATGCCTTCTTCAGGCTATACCTGAAGTTACTATAGCATGTTTGACTGAGAGAAGCACTGCCTGGTTCCCAGGGCCATTCAATAAGCAGCAAAGAAGAGTCTAGAAAGTGTCTGGCATAGGAAAAGAACTGGGAGAGTAAGAGGTTTAGAGACCATATCTCCTACTGAGGAATGGCTGAAGGAGACAGAATAGGAGACAGGGCACTTCAACTATCTAAAAATAGATCACTTCTGTAGTTATGTTACAAATGGTTCCAGTTACCAAAAACCAGCTTAGGCTACTTTAAATAATAAAGAGAATTTATTAGAAGGACACTGGGCACCTCAAAGAGCCTAAGATGACAGAACAACCCCTAACCCTCTCTATTTCTCCTACTTCAAAATTTTAGATTATCTGGAGAATGTGATGATACTACCTTTGGTCAAAAGCTTTCCTAACTCTAATTATTAATAGTTGTACATGGAATTCCCAAAGACGGGAGAATCACTGTGAGGCGGAAGCCACCATGAAAGGTACTATTTCATGCTCAAGGTAAAACTACTGAGAGCATGCTAAGAACCGTGAATCAGTTTTTAGAAGGCAAGTTTCAGATAATCATTGCTATAGAACAAAGCCACTAACAAATAGAATAAATTGCCTTTTAAGCGCTCAAGTAATTGCTGAGGCATCTGTCAGGAATGTTAAGGAAGATTTTAAGATGCCCTCCAAGGTCAACAGTGACTTTAACATTTGTTCAAAAACAGGCAAAACAATCATTAAAAGTCAGAATAGGCTGGCACAGTGGCTCATGACTCTAATCCCAGTACTTTGGGAGGGTGAGATGGGAGGATCGCCTGAGCTCACAAGTTCGAGACCAGCATGGGCACCATGGTGAAACCCCATCTCTATCAAACACACACACACACACACACATACACACACACACACACAAAATTAGCTGGGTGTGGTAGTAGGCACCCGTACTCCCAGCTACTCGGAAGGCTGAGGTGAGAGGATGGCTTGAGCGTTGGCGGTCAAAGCTGCCGTGAACAGAAATCATGCCACTGCACTCCAGCCTGGGTGGCTGAGCTTTGTCTCAAAAAAAAAAAAGAAAAAGTCAAGATAGTAGTCACAGGGGAAAAGAGAAGGGGGAGGTTGTAATTAGAAAGTAGTGCAGAGTGGCTGAGCGTGGTGGCTCACGCCTGTAATCTCAGCACTTTGGGAGGCCAAGGCAGGTGGATTCACAAGGTCAGGAGATCAAGACCAGTCTGGCTAACATGGTGAAACCCTGTCTCCACTAAAAATACAAAAAATGAGCCAGGCGTGGTGGCATGCACCTGTAGTCCCAGCTACTCCAGAGGTTAAGGCAGGAGAATTGCTTGAACCCAGGAGGCGGAGGCTGCAGGGAGCTGAGATCACGCCACTGTACTCCAGCCTGGGTGACAGAACGAGACTCCGTCTCAAAAAAGAAAGCACAGCATGACTTCTGTGTTTTGATCTGAGTTACTTGGGTATAAGGAGTTTGCAAAAATTAAAGATACATTATTAGTTACCTATACGTGTTATTAGCCAATAAGATATTCACAAAAATCATTTACTTTAATGATCTCAAACACACTGAATAAAATGAGAGTTAGGAGATGGATGAGGACAGAACAAGGCTTTTAACACATTTTTTTTAAACCACAGAGGGAAAAAACAGTCCATCTAGTAAACAGAAGGGTGCTAGAGAAATATTTCAACTATTTTATAAGACAGTATACATTACACAAAAATGTATACCAGATAGGGAAAAAATTCCAGGAGAAAGAGGGAGCACAATGGTTGTTAAGCCTCTGGAGTGGTCCTATAACAGATGTTAAGAGGCTCAAAATTTTGTGAGACAACATAAAAAATAAAGAGTTTCATGTATTATCACATATGCTTTTTCTGTATCATGAAACATATGAGGTAGGAACATACTCAACTGATTTTCAATTAGTCCAATCAATTGTATTACTAATCTGTATTAGTGCAGATACAGGCTTTGTTCTCACAAAGCGTTTAATCTGCATACAATTGGCGACAGGTATGAAACACAACCTAGAGCCATATTTTGCATTTTATAACCAAGAAAATGCTTGGGTCTCGCTTCCCAAAATGTTGGGGAAAATACATTATAAACAATATGGTTTGACAGAACAATTTCCTGTTCTTCATACACTAATATCAATAGAAAGGCTGCACAGTGGAAATGAAGTGTGCACGTGCACACACACACACACACACACACATACACAGAGAAGGCTCTGATGATCAACTTTTGATATAGTTAGCTTACTATTCTAGGAAAACAACATTAAAAATTAATCATTTTTACTCTCATTTATAGACAGCCTGAAGGTGACCTCTTAGATAACATTTCTACTTCTTTTTCCTAACTGAAGAGGAAATGAATCCTTGTGATTGTAGGGAAACACTCGTTTGTCTCCCTAGTTTTTTTGGAGTTAATGTTAGCAACAGGGCCGGGCATGGTGGCTCAAGTCTATAATCCCAGCACTTTGGGAGGCCGAGGCGGGCAGACTGCCTGAGCTCAGGAGTTCGCGACCAGCCTGGGCAACATGGTGAAACGCTGTCTCTACTAAAATACAAAAAATTAGCCGGGCATGGCGGCGTGCTCCTGTAGTCCCAGCTACCCAGGAGGCTAAGGCAGGAGAACTGCTTGAACTCGGGAGGTGGAGCTTTCTGTGAGCCAAGATCACACCACTGTACTCCAGCCTGGACAACAGAGTGAGACTCCATCTCAAAAAAAAAAAAAAAAAAAGTTAGCAACTGGTCCTATGAAGCAATGAGTCTCAAATACAGCTTCCTACACCAATTATTTTGCTGAGGAATAACCCAATAGAGTGAGACTCCATCTCAAAAAAGAAAAAAAAAAAAAAAGTTAGCAACTGGTCCTATGAAGCAATGAGTCTCAAATACAGCTTCCTACACCAATTATTTTGCTGAGGAATAACCCAATATTAACACCAATGATCACAGGATTAACAGACTAGAATGAGGTCCTCAGAACAGGTATCAAAAGGAACTGTTTCAACACAGTTCCAAAACATACAGATCTGGGCTATATGTATTCATCTTCCTAGAGCAATTATCAATGAGGTCGGTAGAAGGAAACAATAACAGGACCAAGGACAAAAAAACTTACTGGCCTGAAGTTCGTAAATTAAGAGTTTTGGCAAAATTAAGTGGGCACAGAAGAACTAGAGATGCTGGGAAAGTCTCCATCTCACTAGAAAAGAGCATCTGTGAAACTGGACTGTCCAAAAATTAACATCTGGAAATAACATTTAGGTAACACCAGGAGTTCAACACAGCAATACAAGGCAATCATAAAATATGCGTTCAACCATTAGTTCAGAAAGCATGCTTTCTAGTCTAGGACTAGGGGATACACAAAAGAGAAACGAATACATCAAAATCTAAAATAAAAGAATAGGGGAAGATATTAGCATTCAAGAAAAGAAAAATAACTATCAAAAAAGGTGGGGGCGGGGAGGCATATCACAACTAGAATTACTGAGTGCAAAGGCCAAACAAAATGCTTCCAATATGGAAAAATGGCACCCAAAACAAGTCAGGGCAGCCACAATTCCAGAGAACAACTCAAGGACCAAATCTGAGTTCTTAAAAACTCTTAAAAATCCAACAACAATGTAGAATATGAAAAGAAAAGAAAAGAACAGGACAACTAAATCCAAACAAAACATCTACTCTATACATGTAAATCAAATGAGAACAAAAAGATGTGGATCAAAACCTAAAACCTTTTTCCAAGTGATAACCCTGCCAGAAACACATCAATACTTCATAACTGCAACCCTAGACCTGTAAAAGAAATAAATTCCAGATGAGATACAGGCAGCCAAGGGGCAACTCTGAAGCAACCAACAAGAACGCCTCTTCTCCTACTTGCTTCTCAGCTTTTTAATCTCAATGTCTGAAAGATTATCAGGCTACTGATACAGAAGCTGCTGGGGGAAAAAAATGTTGGAAAGACTCAGTCCTAGACCCAAGATCAATATAAAAGACACCCTCACAAAATAATAAAGGAGTCAGTTAAAAATACTCCAAAGAACCTGTAAACTCTACATTCCATTATATGGACAATTTTAACCACCAGTGAGGTTTTAAAATGGATGTCACCTACAAGATATGATTTCCCAGGATTCAACCAATGAATAAGAATAAAACACAGCTTTATGCTTCAGAGCCTGTAAGAAAAAATCCTTGAAAATAATGTAATGTTATTTAAAATGTAGACAAAGTCACTTTGTTCAAGTGTAGAATAGGGATTGTGTGTTGGGGTGGGGAGAAGTGAGAATTTAAATTTCCAGGTTTTAATAGAAAGATAATGATAATTGTAACTCCAGATATAAAAATGTTGTTTTTTTTAAAAAAAGAAGATAAACATTTAATGATGAAGAAACATTGAACAAAGAAGCTAAAAATAAGTGTGGTTCATGCTGTAACATTTCTAGGCATAAGGAAACAATAAAAAGGGAGACGAGTTAGAAATTAATAGAGAACCTGACCAAGTGATATGTCTTAGCACAGAGTAAGAGACTAGATAAACAATACAGGTTTCTACCTATTCCTTCCCTATTTAAGTAGGAACCCATAAGTCCAATGAATTAACATTTGAAATGTAACTCAAAAGGAAGTTGGTGAACGAATAATATGTCCCTGGCACATCTGAAGATAATTCACACACATCAACCTGTCAGTGGGCAGGGTATCATAGTAGGAACCCTAAAATTTAAAAATACAATAGTCTAGAAAGATCTTGACACATGGCTTAAAAGGATAACTTATATCATAAGAAACAATGGTGAAATAAACCAAAGGCAAAAATTTGCTGATGTAAAGGAAGATATCAGTAGTTCTAGCTTTCTCATCTGGTGGGTAAGTCGGCCTAAACAGAAAAATGGAAGAGAATTTAATAGGAAAAAATTTGTAATTAAGGCAGAAAAAAAAAGGAAAGACTGAAAAATAAAAATTCTTTCCCACCAGAATAGGGAAAATAATCATTAAAAAAAGAAAGAAAGAAAAAGAGGCAGGGCACGGTGGTTCATGCCTGTAATCCCAGCACTTTGGGAGGCCAAGGTGGGCGGATCACCTAAGGTCAGGAGTTTGAGACCAGCCTGACCAACATGGAGAAACCCCATCTCAACCAAAAATACAAAATTAGCCAAGCGTGGTGGCGCATGCCTGTAATCCCAGCTACTCGGGAGCCTGAGGCAGGAGAATCGCTTGAACCCAGGAGGTGGAGATTGCAGTGAGCTTAGATTGTGTCATTGCACTCCAGCCTGGGCAACAAGAGTGAAACTCCATCTCAAAAAAAAAGAAAAAGAAAAAATGAAGCAGCCTTACAGGCATACTTACAGAATAAAACACAATAAATACAGAAGGCATAAATACAGAATAGAAGATGAAGTTCTAGGACAAGACTAGTTCTCAAAAAGTCAGAATTGGCCACTTTTGGGGAGATGGCATGTTAAACTACAAATTAACTCTACATCCTTAAGGTTCCAATTATTTGACTGAAAAATGCTCTCAAAGTATACTTAGATCCCACTAGAAAAGGTACCCTTAACATACATGTATCTGTATTTCATCTCCACTCTACACTTCTAAGTTCGTCTTTTATATAAAAGACAGAAGAAATGCTGGCAAATGTGCTTTATTACCTGGGTAACCAGAGTAAAATCAGATCAAAGAGCCAAGTAATGAATACACTATGTTATATACCTATTTATCAGAAAATCACAACTTCACTCTTGTGGCATGGGAGAAAAGTTGTTTGCTTTATACAAAACACACAAGCTCTAAAGTCTGAAGTTTGGGGGGTGGGTGGGTGTGTGCACGTGCGGTGGGGGAGGTGGGGATAAGAGGATGTTCCAGAATGTTTCAGAAGAATATCGCTGAAAGGGCTGGAACCAATTATTATGAACATACCTTAAAGCAGGAGTCAGCAAATGTATTCTGCAAAGGTATTGACTTTTCAGACAGTACATATCTTAGGCTTTGGGGAGGACATATAATCTCTGTTGAAATGATTCAACTTTGCCAATGGAGTGCATAAACAGACATAGATGATTACGTACAAAATGAACAAGCACGGTTGTTAAAATAAAACTTTATTTATAGACTGAAATTTTAATTCCCGTAATTTTCACATGTCACAAAGTATCATTCTTCATTTGATTTTTTTTTTTCCACCAGCCATCTAAAAAGGTAAAAATCATTCTTAGCTCACAGCCCAGACAAAAACAGGCAGCAGGCCAGAACTAGCCTATGGGCCACAGTTTGCTGACCCCTACCTTAATGAATGCCAAACTTCATAAAATTATGTTTATAATGCTACATACCAACTTGATGTCTTGTGGGGTTTTTTTAATCCCAAGAAACAAGACTCCCTTAGTTATATGAACATTACTAGAAATATACTCTGTAAAAACAGACCAAAATAACTTAAAAGTTTGCTTTTAATGAGAGACAAGGAGAGGTGCTCTAGGAAACCAGTCAAAGAGGCATGATGTCAGATGCATGTTTCCCAACTGTTTGCTCCCAGTATATTTCAAGGTAAAGTGAAAGGCAAGAAAGTACGAACGTGAGAGAAAAAAGTAGTGATACTTCTGCCTTAAATGAGAAGTCTGTCAAGCTAACTAAACATTTGCTTAAAAGAAAAAACCATCAGCTCTAGTTCACAGACATGTATGGTTGAAATGTTCGTGATATGAGACAATATATAACACACTCTAAGGCTCATATCATGTCTAAAGAAAAAGTATTTCTTAAGCCAAACAAAAGCGAGAGCTCCCATCATTCATTCATGCCGGCAATGCCATAAAGTCTACCATTTTCTTTTAACTTGTTTTCTGGTTAAAATAGAATTTATAACTTAAAATATCAGACTACTCCAATTAGTATCCTACCTTGCATGTTCCTGAACTCCCACAATCTCTACTTCACTATCTGAAGAGGCAATGTTAATTTCTTCATTGAGTGGTGCATTGCCAGCAGATGTTTTGTCACTTGCTAGGAATCCTGGGTCCAAATGACCTGAGAGAGAAGGGGAGAGAAAAAAGCACTATAATTTTATTTCTCATAAACAGTGGAAACAACTCATTGACAGATTTGTCATCTAGGTTTAGTCACGGAAACAGAATCACCCTGTGAGAGCTTGCCACAGCAAAACTGTCAAATAAGCTGGGGCAGTGTTCTTTGTTCAAACATTGGTTTTAAAAAAATAAACAGAATACATGCTCATGATGTATATTCAAACAACATGGCAGTACATAAAAGTATGAACTCAAAGTCTCTCACTCGCTACCTCCTTAGGATAAATAATTTAAATGCTTTGGTAAATACCTATATCTGTCTACCTAAACCATAATAAACTCTATATATTTTATGCTGTAATGCTTTCTGCATTCAACTCCAGTCAGTTTTTAAACGACCTGCATAACCACCTAGAAGGCAGTGGGGATCTCCACTGCTTATCATTTTAATAGAGCCAAACTTTAAACTGGAAAAGCCCAAAGGCACATATGGAACAATAACAGAAGTAATCTCTAATACCATATTTATCCTGGGATGCTTTGTGAAAGATTTAGCATATGTTCTCTCTAAAGAAACATAGATTTGACAAAATCTGACCCAAAACTACATCTAAAAAGAAAGACTGGAGGTAAATCACAATTTTGGCTCTGAGCAACTGAAATGTAACTTGCACATTGCTGAGAGTTCTCCTTAGAAACAAACCACAAACTCTGGAAAAACATAACAGTTTGTGGCACTGGGGCATGTAAGGACTTCTTCTGTAAGAGTCTTCCCAAAGCATGTATTATATGATGCAATAAAACACATTCTCCAACATCACAGAAAACACGAGCTTCACAGAACTCTCAATAATGGCTAAAGGCATGGCATCAAAGTACGTGGCTCTAAAAACAATTCTAGCAACAGCTAAAATAAATCGGCCTATGTGTACCAGCTCTTAAATGTTCTGATTTAAAAGGGTGAATTTTAGAATACCTAGGAGTTAACACAGAATAAACAGAGTTGCAATGAGTACAAATTCCCATTTACTCTCTAAAGGGTATTTTTATTTAAATATATTATGATCTGATACAAAATTATTTCCCATATTTAAAAAAAAAAAAATCTACACGACACCTAACCTAAACTAAACCAATGTAAAAAAAATAAAATTTTGGCTCACGCCTGTAATCCCAGCACTTTGGGAGGCCAAGGCGGGAGGATCACAAGGTCAAGAGATCGAGACCATCCTGGCCAACATGGTTGAATCCCTGTCTCTACTAAAAATACAAAAATTAGCTGGGCATGGTGGCGCGTGCCTGTAGTCCCAGCTACTCAGGAGGCTGAGGATAGAGAATTGCTTGAACCCAGGAAGCGCAGGTTTCAGTGAGCCGAGATCGCGCCACTGCACTCCAGCCAGGCAACAGAGGGAGATTCCGTCTTAAAAAAAAAAAAAAAGGAAAGCACAGAAAATTTTACATACAACTCTCTTCTCCCTTCACTCAATCCAATGCTTCAAGGTTATTGAGAAATCTTGTACTTCTTTTTTTTTTTTTTGAGATGGAGTCTCGCTCTGTTACCCAGGCTACTGCAACCTCTGCCTCCCGGGTTCAAGCAATTCTCCTGCCTCAGCCTCCCAAGTAGCTGGGATTACAAGCACCCGCTACCACATCCAGCTAATTTTTTGTAATGTTAGTAGAGATGGGGTTTCGCCATGTTGGTCAGGCTGGTCTCAAACTCCTGGCCCCAGGTGATCCGCCCACCTTGGCCTCCCCAAAGTGCAGGGATTACAGGTGTGAGCCACTACACCTGGCCAAATCTTGAATTTTGAATTTTCATACTCCTGTCACCCTTGAGTGTAAACCATTTGGAAAGCTACAGACAGTCACAAAGCAAGGCTTACAATTTTTGTACCTTCTGACCCTGTAAACCCATCCCTAATAATTTACTCTTTAGCCTTTAAATAAGCAAAATGTTATATCCAAAGATATTCATTACAGTGCTATGTAGCAACTTAGAAAAATGTATACTAACATATAAAGTATTACATATAACACTATAAAAATATGTAGATTCTGGGTAAAGCTGTGAAAAATAATCAAGTTTGAATATGATTGTGGGTCTTTTTCATAATTCTTTAGTACTATTTTTATCTTTTATCCTTCGACTGAAAAGGATGCATATATGTGAAAAATTTTTAATGCTTAGAATGGCTCCTAGCTAAACAAGTGATTGAGATTATATATCACAGTCTGCATGGGTTTGTAATCCAGATCATGTGGCACTGGCAGTGGGCACATATCTGGACCCTATAAGTACACAAAAGGTGGCATTTACCAGATAAAACCCTGTTTTATTAAATCTAGGGAGGCTGCTTAAATAGAATTGGTTAAGCCTTGCTTTGGTAAACCTAGATTCTTGTTCTGATCCCTAATACCTTGTTGTGGCCAAGTCTTCATCCAATTTCTACTTCAATGTTTTAGTCATGGCTATCCTCATGCACACTGTTCCAACTGTACTGCTAGGGAAGAATACAAAATCACAGACTCTCTCAATAATTCAGTCTTTACTGTTTATTTGTTTGTACCTGCAATAAATACTTGTGACATGCTATGCACTGTGCTAAGTGCTAGAAATACTATGGGGAACAAGGCAGGCATAGTCTCTACCCTCAATGAACCTGCAATATATGCAGAGATAATAAAAAGCAGTCTATTGCACCATCGCTTGAAAACTGCTCTGATAGGGAACATTCACCAGACTTGAGGGTAATCAGGGTAGCTGAGTTCTAAAGGAAGAGTAGGCACAGGTGAGGGGAAGTGGCATACGGAACATTCTGTTGTCCTTTAAGGTATAAAAGTTTGGTGAGATTTTGGGGTAACAGTCAAAAGAGTAATAAGAAACAAGGCTACCAAAGTCAGCAGGTCAGATCATGATAAGCTGTCTGGATTTAACTTCGAGAAGTAGGAAGCCACTTAACGATTTAAGCAGAGGAGTGACGTCATCTGGTTTTGCATTTTAAAGAATTTCTTTTCAGAGTATAGAAATGAAACTGATAGCAAGTAGGACAGGAAATACTGGAGGCAACAAAATCAGTTAGACTGCTGCAGCTTCCTGGGTGAGAAATGACTGCGACTGAACTAGGAAAAAAAACAACGGAAAATACTGTGTGTGTGTGTACGAATGGAGTTAGTGACGTTGGGAATTAGGCAAATGAAAAAACACAGAAAGTCAAAAATGATGCTTAGGTTTCCGACTTAGGTAAAGGGATAGAGTTACAGGGCCATTCAGTGCACTAATAAAAGCTGAGGGTGGTTGCTTAGGGCATGATGATAATGTGCCTTTAATATATACAATAAGCAGTTCACATAACTTAAGTTTTCACATAAATAATGAGTGTTCATAATAGCAGGACTTGCAAGCAGAGACAGACTAAGACAGGTGCCAAGAATGTTTCAAAAATGAGTGAAACTATCATGGAGTCAGTAGATGACAGTCAATGGTACAATCGGTACTGTTCTAAAGCTCAGGTCAGAGATCTAAAGAGGAAATACAGACTTGTTAAATCCTCTGCAATAAGTGAGAGAATAAAGATCATCCAGAAAAGTAAAAGTGGTCTATAGAACACAACCCAAGTATTGATGAACATAAATAATTAAGAGACAGGGTGGGGCGGTGGGGCGGGGAATTAGGCTTGGTGGTATGTAACTATAGACTTAGCAACTCAGGAAACTGTGACAGGATTGCTTGAGCCCAGGGGGTCAAGGCTGCAGTGTGCCATGATTGCATCACTGCACTCCAGCCTGGGAGAAAGCCAATATAGCAAAGCAATCTGAAGAATAATGAAAGGGAAGGAAGAGTAAACACAATTTAAGAAGTTTGGCTATAGAAGAAAAGGAGATAGGATGATACTGAGTAAGGAATATGGGCTTGAGGGAGGGGTGTATGCATGTATGTATGTACGTATGTATGTATGTGTAGTTTTTAACAATGAGAGAGACCTGTTCATATTCCAAAAGGGCAGAGAATAGGTTTGACAGCAGAAAGCTGAGGTAATCTGGATTTTGAAGAATGTGGCAAGGCCATCTGCAGAGTGCAGGTGTGGGCAGATGCAGAAAAGCCAAGAGGCCACTATGAAGAAAGAATCCTGCGTAAGGAAAAGGCGGGATTTATGGGAAGCACTGAGAGCCTGAATGAGGCCACAGACTAGGAAATTAAGGCAACCTTTAACTCTGTAACAAAGTGATTTTCTCCAGCTATGCTTAGCAGGTAGATAAAGGCTCAAAGTGTGCATCCAGTGATCAGACTGCCAGGTGAGTACAACAGGAAAGCCAACTCTACAAGTGACATTTGGCAAAGGACAGCTGGGCCTATATAGGCTTGATAGGGAAGGACATGAAGCTGGGAGAGGACTGATAAAGGGATGGGTGATTGGTCCAACGACGTAGAAAAGTAGTGTGGTAGAAGTAGCTACATAAGAGAATAGAGGCCAGGTGCAGTGGCTCACACCTGTAATCCCACCACTTTGGGAGGCCAAGGCAGGCAGATCACAAGGTCAAGAGATGGAGACCATCCTAGCCAACATGGTAAAACCCCATCTCTACTAAAAATACAAAAATTAGCTGGGTGTAGTCGTGTGCGTCTGTAGTCCCAGCTACTCAGGAGGCTGAGGCAGGAGAATCGCTTGAATCCAGAAAGCGGAGGTTTCAGTAATGAGCCAAGATCGCGCCACTGCACTTCAGCCCAGCGACAGAGCAAGACTCTGTCTCCAAAAAAAAAAGAGTGTAGAAAAGCCTACAGAGTAGAAAAGGAAAAAGCAGTAACGAGGGGTAGAAGGAAAACCAGCGATTACAAGAAGTAAAACACTATACTTTCTCCCTCTTAGCTACCCACAAAATACAAGCACCAGGGATCATCCATTTTTTGCCATCTTATCCCAAACTCTGTTGTTTTCCTTTGCTCCAGTCACCCACTGCTCACCCTCCTACAACTTTACCACTGCTTTCTGGAATGCCAACTTC